TAAATCCCTTAAAAGTGGTATATATACTCTAGATATGGCCTCTTTGATCGAGTATAAGGTGATTTGGTTAGTTTTCTTGACTCGTTAGCTTGAATTTTGTTGTGACGATGTTACCTCGCACATTTTGACCGGAATCGAAGAAGATTGCCTTGGAAACAGCGTCAGCATGAAACTCGACAGCCAATCGACAGCTGGTCAAGAGGAATCTGCATTCGTCTTCTGGTGGAACCGACCTTCTAATCTCTTTACCCAACGCTTTTAATCGAAATGGAAGTAAGCTCAACAATTATGAAACAAGAGATTCCTCAAAACCCAACTTTTCATCATATAGTTACAGATTGTTCTTGCAACTTGGTCATATTGGCAGGAAGACCTAGAAGAAAGTACCTTTTCCGGAGTCCATAGTATGAATGATAATTTCCAGAGTCAGACCGTGGACTTGGTACGTTCCAAGACATTTCACCGACATCGTAGTTGACATCGTCAGTGAGCATTGTCAATCTTAGCACAAAACTACAACTCGTCAAAGAGACAAGTGAAGTCAATCTCTTGACCAACTTTCTGCCGAAACGATTGTGCTATCACTCCTCTTTCTGTCCTGGTCTATCTATCTGCTCCTTACCCTCGTAAATTAGGATTAACTTCATTTATGATGGCAGCGATAGAGTAAAACCACTGAAGCAAGACGATAAGAAACGGATCCTAAGGAGAAAATGTACGACTCTGATAGGACCTGGAGGATGAGGATTGCGGACTAAACGGTAGTCTTGGATCAACACTCCCAGCAGAATGGGGGTGATTAGAGAACCAGCGGGAAGTGTGAATATGTCTAAAATAGGTTTATTTAATAAATTGTGATATCGAAGAGGTGATACGACGAAATAGGTCAGGTGAATAGCTCGGGGCAGAATGAGAGATACCAAAATTGATCAAGAATCGACATCACTTGTCTCTTTGACGAGTTGTAGTTTCGTGCTAACAATGGCAAGGTTCATTGAAGATGTCGGCGAAACGTCTGGAAATGTATCAATTCCACGGTCCGACTTGGAAAATCCTCATGCCTACTATGGACTCCGAACAAGGTGTGCTCCTCTAGGTCTTCCTGCCAAGATGACCAAGTTTCGAAAACAAGGTCAAATGACTATTATGCATCGAAAGGTGACCGCGACCAAAATAGAGGCCACAACATCTTGGTCTCCGTGTCTAATATTAAAGATAATTAGCCAAATCATTCTATATCTCGCTATCCCTATTCATTTTCTTTTGCTAAAATGAGTCCAAATAAGATTTCAAATAGGGCCATACAGCGCTAACTTTATACTTTCACAAGAATCAGTTGCAGTTATGATGATGCCCATCATATGATGCACGAGAACTGAGCCCATTTTCACTTGATACGAGGGAGGATGTCTCGTGAACTGCGTCAACATAAACTTCGTATGTGAAATTCAACGTAATATATGCGAAGAAAAGTTGG